CCTTCCTTCCTTCCTTTCTTCTTTCCTCCCGTCTTTCTTTACTTTAACAAACATACGTGGATGGCAGGGCCAAGAGTTGTGGAAATAAATTGAAACAGAGATAAAACATATATAGACCCTGGCTTAGGGGCCTCAGAATCTTTGGGAATAATCTGTGGGCATTACCATATGCAAAAGGCAAATCAATGAGGCTCTGACAGGTATAGATTGAGAGCCAGCCAGAGCTCTCAGAGGTAGGAGGGATGGTGTCTTGGGCAATGAAAAAGACATCACAAAAGTGTTCCAGATGGTAGAGTAGGTAAACGCTATGCATGCCTCCTCCCATGACCACATTAAAATTGCAACTAAAGTATGGAACAGTCAACCTGGAAAACCATCTGAAGATCAGCTAAACAGAAATCCTGTAACTAAGGCTATAAAGAAGAGGCCACATTGAGAGTGGTAGGAAGGGCGGAGACGTGAAATGGGTTTGTCCCATACCCACATGTGATGGTTGAGCATTAGGAGAGAAATCTCAGGTGCGTAGGTCCTCCCAGAGGAGTGAAGGGCCCTAGCCCCACAACAGGAGCTCCTTGGCCGAGAATTCCAGTGTTGATAGGAAGAGCCCCCACAAAATCTGATTGAAAATCAGTGGGGATTCCAACCATCGAGTGAGACAGAAGGCAGCTGGAAATGCAGTCATCCCCTTAAATGGCCTGCTCACAGGCTTACTTGATCTCAGGTACTCACCCTGGGCTCTGGCGGAGGGATAGCCACCATTGTTTCCTTTATGGAGCCCTCCTCCTGTGCAGCCTACTGGTGGGTGCCATCTTCCCTGTGTTGAGCCCTCCCCACCCCATGGCCAAATCTGATTCTGCATTGGCCTGGTCAAATCTGCTTGCTCCATCTCTGTGACTCTCTAAAGACCCTACCCCACCCAACTTGCAAATTGCCAGTGGCAGTTTGCTTGCTGCATACCCAGCCCCACCCCACACTGTCAGCACTGGGCTCCTTCAGCAGTCAACAGGCCTTGGCTTGCACACCATGGGAGACACTTTTGGTGGCAGGAAACCAGCCTGGGCCCAAGCTGCAGTATTTCTTGAACAAAACTCAGGAGTTGGCGGGCCCAAGGAGGGCAGTGGCTGGCCTCACTGTGATCTGAGACTTTTGCTGGTGACCCCAGGCTCAGTACTGACAACAAATCTGAATCCACACTAACCTGGGGAACACCACTTGCCTCACCCTGGCGACTCCCTGGGATTCTGCCTCATCCAACTCACATAGTGCTGGAAGATCTTTCAGCTGCTGAGCCTTACAGGTAACCAGCATGCAGCCTAAGACCTTGGTGTGCCCTGAGCCTTTTGCTGAGCTGCCCCGGGCTCTATACTGGTGGCAGCCAGTCTTTGTTCACCACATGGCCTCTTGCACATGCCTCCAGGTCTAGCACAGACAACAACCAACCACAGATAGCTTTGTAGCTCCTACCAGTTGGCCCCAAGCTGGTCACAGGCAGTGGCTGACCTTCGCCTACATGAAAGCCCCTTGCAAGTGGCTTCAGAACCAACATACCCGGAGGCTGGCATTAGACTTCAACAGAGCTTCACCTAATTAGTCCCATAAGCAGCACACCTAGAGGGTGGTCTCAACAGACACATGAGCTCACTGGGGCGAATCCCACTCAATGGAGTCAGCCCGACACAGCAGCTCATACACATGGCCAATCCTCACAGCCAGTCGGCCTGAGAGTCAGTCCCACCCACTGACGTGCCAACAGCAGTCAAGGCTCAACTACAACAGGAGGTCACATGCAACACACGCAAGGGATCCCTGGAGCACCCGGAAGATCAGGGAGATGTGCCACTGGGCCACACAAGACACCTACTACATAAGGCCACTGGACTAACACTGGGAGATGTATTAGATCTACCTAATACATAGAAATGAACGCAGAGAGGCAGCCAAAATGAGAAAACAAATATGCTCCAAATGAAAGAACAGGAGAAAACTCCAGAAAAAGAACTAAATGAAATGGAGACAAGCAATCTACCAGATATAGAGTTCAAAATACTGGTTATAAGGATGCTCAATGAACATCCTTGAATGTCAATGAATAGATCATCTCAGTGATAACTTCAACAAAGAGATAGTAAGCATTAAAAAGAACCAGTCAAAAATGAAGAATACAATAACTGGAATGACTAACACACTAGAAGGAATCAGCAGTAGATTGGAAGAAGCAAAGGATTGAGTCAGTGATTTGGAAGACAAGGTAGCAGAAAACACCCAATCAGAACAGCAAAAAGAAAAGAGAATTAAAAAAAAAAAATGAGGATAGTTTACAGTAGTGGTTCCTAACCTTTTTGGCACCAGGGACCGGTGCTCCTTTGAGAATCTAATGCCTAATGATCTGGGGTGGAGGTGAGATTTTAATACTAGTGCTGGGGAGCGGCTGTAAATACAGATGAAGCTTCACTCACTTGCCTGTTGCTTACCTCCTGCCATGCAGGGCAGGTGAGGTTGGGGACCCCTGGTTTAAAGGACCTTTAGGACAACATCATCAAGTGTAACAACATTTGCTTCATAGGAATACCAGAAGGAGAAGAGAGAAAGCAAGGGATTGAGAACCTATTTGAGGAAATAATGACTGAAAACTTATCTAACCTGGTGAAAGAAATAGACATACAAGTCCATGAAGGACAGATAGTCCCAAACAAGTTGGTACCAAACAGATCTATACGAAGACACATCATAATTAAAATGGTAAAGGTTAAAGACAAAGAGACAATCCTGAAAGCAGCAAGAGAAAGGCAGCTAGTTACTTACAAGAGTACTCCCATAAGAATGTCAGCTGATTTCTCAACAGAAACTTTCAGGCCAGAAGGGATTGGCACAAAATATTCAAAGTGATGAAAAGCAAGAACCTACAACCAAGATTACTCTAGCCAGCAAGGCTATCGATTAAAATGGAAGGTGAGATAAAGAGCTTCCCAGACAGGAAAAAGCTAAAGGAATTTATCACCACTAAGTCAGTATTACAAGAAATGTTGAAGGGACATCTTTAAGTAGAAGAAGGAGAAGAAAAA